AAATGAGTAGGAGCTAAGACTCTATTTAAATAACAAAAATATATACAAAATTTTAATAATATATGATATTAAATTATAATAATTTCAAAATTGTAGTTATCAAAAACAAGAAAAAAAAACTACAAATTTGTCTAGTAGGATAGTGTAATTAGTTTAATCAAAATATATATACTCAAATACAAAATATAAAATAATCTAATTAAATAAAAATATATGGCAAAAACTCCGGGCATAGCGCGGTAACATTTGGCTTCTCACGTTCATTGATATCCCCTGAGAAATCCATCGCTCTCGGCTTCGATATAGGTAGTATAGATTTATTGCGTTTTATGTTATTTTTAGAAACGAAATCCTTTCTAATATAAATTTGATTTGAACCAGTGAAGATATCAGGAGAAGAAGGATAGGTCGGGGACGAAGGTGCACATGAATGTAAGTCTTTAATCATCGAGTTAACAAAAAAAAATAGTGATGTTATTAAGCTTCAGATCAAGGTCGATGAGAATACCGGTCAAAGCGTCGATGCTTGCTTCAAGACCTGTCAAAGCGTCGATGAGAAACTTTGTGTTTACCAGAAAAAATATTATAAATATTTTCTCTTTTCTCTGATATGTTTTATGTTTGCAGTCTTTATATGAAAACGAAAAGATTCTGGTTAGAGGTTAGATTTTGAGTAAATATTTCTAATGTTAACTGATTTATGTTCTCAGCCACTGAATGGGTGAAAGGCAAAGGCATGGAGGAAGTCCTGACCATCAATAACATGTAAGTAGCCTTTGTTTATCTCTTGCAAGTTACAAATGTTGTTATGATCTGTCACAGACACTACAATATATAAAAATTAATGTTTTCTCTATGTTTGTGTTTCAAGGCATTTTCATAGTATGTTTTCAGTCGTTGCATTAGATGAACTTGAGTTGTCTATTGGTTCACTCTTTCATTGTATACAATCCACATGCCAGTGTTGGTGAAGCGTCATACTGCTGTTTGTGACAAATCTGTTAGTAACCACCTTAGCTGACTTGGTGAGCCCATTACTCTATTTGGGGAGCAGGAAATGGAGAGAAGAGATATGTTGGCTCTGCTTATGGCTTGGCTTGATATTGCAGCCAATTGGATAAACTGTTTCAGGCTCAGGAAGAAGATGCAGCTGCAAAAGAGAAGGTGTGCTGATTTTAATTTATTCCTAACTTTTTTTTTGTTTGATCCCATAATGCTTAGTTTGATTTATTAAGCTGACGTTATTACAAGCGCTAGCTTCAGGAATTCCCTACCAACGTTTTTTGACAGTACTGAAGGAAGATTTGAGAGCATCTGTTCGGTTGTAACTCAGTGAATTCAGCTACAAAGGAACCAGAGAGAAGGTTAGTGATGTCACCAGCTGAGAATGAGAACAAAATACTTCATTCAAAGATATCACAGAACTTTGCAATACTCTTAAGAGAACTAAATGTAACACGTGAGGAGGTGTCCGAAGCTCTTTTAGATGGTAATTTTTGCCTCCCCCCCCCCCCTAATTTGATTCATTACTTGGGATAAAGTTCCATTTGCATAACACAAGGACTGATATTTGCCTTTCGCGTGACAAGGTTCCTTAGGAGAAACAGTAACAGCTATGCTCATCAGAGATATTAGTGATATTAAGTGTAATAGTATAGGCTTTAGTCGCAAGCTTTGCTCAATGCAAAGGAAAATACATATGAAGTTATTGTCTCTACTTTATAGTGCTTTTCACATAAAACGGGCCATTCTCTAATTTTACAGGAGAAAGTCCCATGATATATAGAGGTGCATATAGTTCATATCATTTTATTTATGTATTGTTCTTGGATGCATTCATGGTCTCTACTATTTTCAGTTTAATTAAGCATGTGGCGTGGTATCATGTATACCGAGAGCTTTAGGTGCATAGCTTTTAGAGACTAAGGGAAAATGTCTCAACAATAGAGGAAGTGTCAGTCACTCTTTAAGACACTTGATAGTTCAAATTATAAAAGAAATGCCTTTTTTTTAAATTTCTTGGTTGCTATGTAGGAAGCAAGCATGTTCTTCTAAAGTGCTTGAACGCTTTTGACTTTTATCTTTTTGAAGAAAAATAACATGAGGTAATGGAAGAAACAGAGATTGCGGCTAATGGACTCAACGTCAAAGTCAACACACTCTGCTTTGCAATTCGCATTTGAAACTACAGTCCGGTTCTCTAATGATGTTGTTAATAAAACATGTCGAAATTAAGTGTATAGTGTACATGCATAAGCGCCATAGTTCATTCCAAACATAGAGTATCTGAAGGATCCAGAAGCGCTTCTCACCTACCTCGGTTTTAGGTTCGATATTTTCATTATTGCATATAATGTTAATTGTTGTAAACCTTTTGGATTTTTAAACTCCTCTTCACATGGCTCATCATTCAAGTCAAGAAAGACTTCATATATATATGGGTTTTATTATTTTTTACTTCTTACATTTGAATCATTTAAATTTCATTTTAATAATTTTATTTGTGATTGTTTTCAATATATATAACTTATATAGCTTAATAAAAATAACTTAATATCTTAAAACAACTAACAATTTATAAAAATATACCCGGACGTAGTCCAGGAAAGTCTCTAGTATATATAAAGAAGAGTTTCTCTATTTCTCGTTAAGCCATGTCATCATATAGTAATTTTTGGATGTGACATGTGTCCTACTTTTTACAACTTAACGAACTTTATATTGTTATTTTTTTTAAACTGGGCTTCACATTCTCGAAATATTATTTTGAATGGGCCTGTCGTCAAATCGAATGAAACCCATACAAAGGAGTCGAGCCTTTATTATTGTAAACGCTGCTACTCAAACAGTCCTAATCGCCGTCGATGTTCTTCATCCCTTCACCTCACCAGAGACAAAAACCTGGACCGTTACATAATCAGTCTGTATCGAAGCGTCCTCCATAACACCTTCATTAAAATATATCCCCACTCCTCTCACGATCTCTCATTCAGAGCATCTGCCATTACTTCGATTGAGTGCATCTTTAACTATAAATATGTAAGTCTCATACCCTGCAAATCATCACTTCAATCCTTTCAATCATTGCATTTCTAAGCTTCCAGAGACAAAATAGCTAACTTCGCTATATTCCTCGCTGATTTGAAGACATGATCTGCCTGATTCTTTGGTTTGTTCATGTCTTTCCTTTAAGTTTGTTCAGATGTGACAGAAATTTTTCTTTCCTTTTAGAAAGTTCAACTCTTTGCTTGAAATTGAAAACGTTGGTTTTATGTTTGGTTCTTGGTGATAGTGAACTTCTCTGCGTACCTTTTTTGTTCTTATCAGATTAGTCCTTTAACAGCCTTATGAATCCAGTTTGGGTGTATTTTGTTAAACTGAGTATTCGTCGTTAGCTGGTAATCGCTAAATCAGTGATCTTTCATGATCCGGATCATACTTATATGTCTTAAATTAGATGTTGCTTTGAGAATGATGTTATACTGGTTCTCTCTCAGGTCTGTCATTTATGAACTCTATAGATAAAAGACTCAATCGTTGCAGTGTTTTGAGTGTTTATCAATAACTGACCGTGACTGTATTCGTTTGTGCCGATGGATTCAACTTCTTCTTATGATCAAAACGATGAAATGCTTGACGATAAGATTCAAGGAGAAGAAGCTTAAGAACTTTCTGTTGATGGAAAGAGAAGAAATGAAATTGAAAGATCAAGCTCTGCTCTGCCCAATCCAGTTTCGGTTTAGTCCAGTCGGGTTTTGGTTTTTGGGTTTATCAAAATCAGCCCCATTCGGGTTTTATGAAAGTTCGGTTCGGGTTCTATCGGGTTCAGTTGGGAGTTAGTAAATTTTTAAAGAACCAGTATAACCCATTGTACTTTCGGTTTCGGGTCCCAATCGGTTCTTTGGTTTAAAAGTACCTGATTTGTACTTAATTTGTAACCAAAACATAAGCAAAAGCGATTATTCAAACTTAAAGTACATGATTTATCCTTATTTTGTAACCCAAACATAAGTAAAATTGATTCAAAATAAGAAAAGAACAACAAACGTGATCATTCAAAATCAAACAAAAGATCAACATAGTTACTAATATAAAAGAAAAGCCAAATAAATGAAGACATAAAATGAAAACCAAGATTTGATGAAGTGAAAAACATTATTCAGTTAAAATAAAGCCAAAATTTAAAAACTTCAAGCTTCAACTGTCACCTACAACCATCAACTTATAAGTAACAAATAATTATTTTAGATATTCAATAATATCTTCAAGTATTTTGGATATATATTAGGAATTGAAATCATATTTGGTATAAGTTTTTTTGAGATTTTGAATGTTTCAGGTTCTATCAGATATTCATTTAAGTTCGGGTTCGGTTTAGATAATACTCATAACCCGAAATACCATAAAACAAAATCATTCGGTATTTATGTCGGGTTCGGATCGGTTTGGATTCATTTTTATAGGGTCGGTTTCGGTTCGGGTTTTCGGGTTTGGTTTATTTGCCCAGCCCTAGCTGTAACATATGCGGAGTTGAACATCCGTTTAAAAATTTGAATCATGAGTACAATGATTTCTAATATATATATTATTTTTTACAAAGATTTTTCTTGAATAAATTAAATAATGATTACAAATGAAACTTATATGAGAACCACCCACTTAGCGAGAAAAAAGAAACATCAACTACAATCCAAGAGCTAGGAAGAGATTCATCCACTAGACATTGTGTTGCATCAGTAAAACCATAAGTAGAGTAGCAAAGGTATTGGTCTAGAACCAGATGGTGAACTGGATGCTACACTTGTCCAACATTGAAGAAGTGAGCCGAGAACAGGTTAAGAGTAGGCAAAGCATGTGCTCTGTTTTTTACGGCGACAATGAGCCTTCGTTGGCTTAATTTTTTCCGTCGACCTTTAGAGTTCCACGACATAACCATTTACCTATGCATTGATGAAGATCTTAACTGAGTGTGGTTACTCTTCACCACAAAGAGTGTGAAAATGGCAGATATATTAAGGAGAAGGTTTGCTTTATTGCTCTTGACTACGAGGACGCTTGAGACAGCCAAAACTATCTCAACTCTTGACAAGAACTACGAGCTACCTGATGGGCAAGTGATCACCATTGCTTCTAAGCGATTCCATTATCCTGTTCTTTACCAGCCATCTATGATTGGTGTAGAGAACTCATGTATACAGAAAAACTTATAACTCCTTAATGTTGGGACATAGGTTTATATTGGACCAAAAACTGTATCACCAACTAATGGATCCCAAACATGTTAATAAAAGTCAAACATCTAGAGTCCAACAGTATAGTAAGAATCTAAAATGTGTTCCATAACACATATTTTGAATTAAAAAATATCAAATATCAAATATCAAATAACCATGGTCTGAAATGATAAACACAATATAAAAAAACTAAGAAAACTAAAAAAATATACAGTGAGTGAAACTAATATTAATTTATTCGAAACAACCTATGCAAATTTAAAATATAACTTCAACACAAATAATAAGATATAGATAAATTCTCTTGCAAAACAAAAATATAATACGAACAATATTAGTATGAACAATATAAATATGAACAATATATTTTTTTTCCCGTCAATAGTTTTGATATTAAAGTGACATACAAGAGTTCATACATAAGCTGGCGGCTACGAACAGCCCCAGAAACAAAAGCCATAGAAAACAGCAGCTAGAACCCACATCGGGGTAACTTACGAAATCAAAACATACAAACTAAAACCGCAACTAAACCAGAAAACCGATTAACTACTACACCGAGTTTGAAACAAATCAACTCAACAGACTTTAGAAATAAGCACATGTCAACAACATTCCGCGCGCTCTAGTATATATCGTTATATATAAAGAACATTTTTCCGTCCTTATTAGAGTGACATGTCATAATGAAAACTGACTTTGGCTTTTGTTGGATATCTTAATGGGCTAAGTATTTTGTTTTCGGTTTACATTTAATTTTACGGTTCTGTATTGGTATTAAAATTAGGCCTTCTTAGAGAAACAGCTGCCTCCATTGACACTATTCACCCTTGAAACTCTGTTTTTGTTCTTATCACGACCCTCGAAAAACTGGAACCGTTACGGATTCAAGCTGAATCGAAGCGTCCTCTTCAACGTCATCGTTAACAAAAAACTCTCTACTGCTCTCACGATCTATCATTGAATGCACTCTCATTACTTTTTTTTTTGTGAAACTTCAACTATAAAAAGGTATGTTTTGTCCTGTGAAAATCATCAGTTCACAAAGATGACTTTCTCCTGATTTGTTCTTGGAGAACTGGTGAAAATGTTATGGATTAGATGTTTCCCGATGCGTTTAGCGAGATGGGTGAAGTTGTGTCGGTTCGTGTCTGTATGGATTTGGCTACCTGAAGATCACATTGTCAACTTCACCCGTCCCCGTGTTGGAATGAAACTTTAGTAAAGGTAGAGAAAGTGTTTGAAGAGAAAATATTTTGTGTGAAGAAAAGAGCTTTAATTTACTTAAGAGAACTTCTTATTACTTTGATGATTTTTACAAACTTGGATGATTTCCTGATAATACAAAATGAGAAGGGAGTGGAGGTATTTATAGCCTCCATAACACAAAATATCTTAAATATTTTAATACTAAATCTAGAGAATTCTAGCATAATATCTAGATTATTTTATTCTAATTTATCTTAATTATCTAGATAATTCTACAAGAATATCTAGATTTTTATTCTAAGGAGGTGGAAGACTTCTCTAGAATTTGGGCTAAGTTTGGACCAAAACATGATTAGTGAATTGTTAGCCCAATAATACTTAACCCAAATCAAGTTTACTTTTCAACACCCCCTCTTAAACTTGATTTGGTTACTCTGAGTAAGCTCCTCATCTTGATAAAGTCTTCTCGCTTGAGTGGCTTGGTGAAGATATCAGCTACCTGATCATTTGTCTTCACATACTCCAATTGCACATTCATCTTGGTAACACATTCTCTAATGTAGTGATAACGAGTATCAATGTGCTTACTCCGATCATGGAAGACTGGATTCTTTGTCAATGCTATTGCCGACTTGTTATCCACAAAGATCTTCGTTGGCTCCTCTTGTGGTAGGCTCAACTCCTTTAGCAAGTTGCGTAACCAAATATCATGGCAAACACATGAAGTAGCTGCTACATACTCCCCTTCACAAGTTGAAAGAGTAACAATAGGTTGCTTCTTCGACATCCATGTGAAAGCAGTTTCTCCAATGAAAAACAAAAAGCCACTTTTGCTTTTTCGGTCATCTACGTCTCCACCCCAATCGCTATCGCTATATCCAACAGGCTTGTAATCGTCAGAAATAGAGTAGTACAAGCCAAAGTTAATTGTACCTTTGATATAGCGTAGGATCCTTTTTGCTGCCTTGAAATGAGTTGTCCATGTATCGACTCACAACTCCAACTGCATGAAGGATGTCGGGCCTTGTGCAAGTTAGATAACGTAGACTTCCAACTAGGCTCTTAAATAGTGTTGGATCAACACTCTCTCCTTCTTCTTCCTTTGATAACTTGACTCCACATTCCATTGGCGTGCAAACTGGATTTGAATCATCCATCTTAAACTTCTTAAGCACCTCTTAGCATAACCTTCTTGAGTAATGAAGATTCCATTTTCTTCTTGCCTCACTTTGATGCCAGGTAATATGACATCAATCCAATGTCAGTCATCTCGAACTCTTTTGTCATCTTCTTCTTGAAATCTTCAAACATAATCGGATTGTTGCCGGTAAATATCATGTCATCCACATACAAGCATGCAATCAATATATCATTATTTTGAGTTCCGATATAAAGTGCATGCTCATATGGACACTTGACGAAACCCTTCTCCTTGAAATACTTATCAGTCCGAGTGTTCCATGCTCTAGGTGCTTGCTTCAAACCATAAAGTGTCTTCTTCAGCTTCAAGACTTTGTCTTCTTCTCCTTTGACTATGTAACCTTGTGGTTTCTCAATGTAGACTTCTTCCTCTAGGTCTCCATTTAAGAAGGCTGATTTTACATCCATTTGATGTATCTTCCAACTCTTTTGAGCTGCCAATGAAATGATTAGTCTAACCATTTCTAAGCGAGCAACAGGAGCAAATACCTCATCATAATCGATCCCAGCTCTTTGACTATAGCCTTTCGCCACCAATCTTTCCTTGTACCTTTCAACTTCTCCTTTCGAATTCTTCTTGGATTTGTACACCCACTTCACACCGATTGCTTTTTGCCCACTTGGAAGTGAAGCTAACTCCCATGTATTATTCTTTTGAATCGACTTGATTTCTTCATCCATTGCATTTCTCCATGACTTCTTTTCTTGAGCTTCTTCAAAGTTCATAGGCTCGCAATCCGCAAAGAGACAAAATAGAGTAAGATTTTCTTGATGATCAGTTACCTCGTAGATGTCTTGTAGACTTCTAAAACGTGGAGTCCTTTCACTTGAGCTTTCATCTCCTAGAGAACTTGGTGTTGGTGAAGTTGGTGGTGTAGCTGGCTCTTCTCTTGGTTGCTCCAAATTCTCTTCTTCAAAAGACGGAAAGAAGTTGTAGTCTTCATCATTTGATCTCCAATACCATTCTCCTTCTTCATCAAAGATGACATTCCGACTAATGATTGTCTTCTTTTTTCGGGATTGTATAGCTTGTAGCCTTTAGAATTAGCATCATATCCAATGAAGATGTACTTTTCACTTTTATCATCTAGTTTGCTCCGCTTCTCATCTGGAACATGAGCGTGGGCAAGGCTTCCAAAGACTCTTAAGTGTGAGACCCCGGTCTTCCTTCCGCTCCAAGCTTCTTGTGGTGTCTTTCCCAAAACACTCTTCGTTGGAGAACGGTTTGATATATAAACCGCACACGCCACTGCTTCTGCCCAAAACTCTTTTGGTAACTTCTTACTCTTGAGCATGCTTCTTGCCATCTCAAGAATAGTCATATTCTTCCTTTCTGCTACTCCATTTTTTTGAGGGGTTCTTGGCACCGTCAACTGTCTTCGAATGCCATTATCTTCACAATATTTCAGAAACTCCTTGGACATAAATTCTCCTCCTCAATCAGATCTCATGGACTTGATCTTAAGACAAGTTTCCTTCTCAACATGGGCTTTAAACTTTTTGAAATTTTCAAACACTTCTGATTTTTGTTTCAAAAAGTAAACTCATGTTTTTCTTGAATAGTCATCAATAAAGAGAAGGAAGTAGTTAATCTTACCAAGTGAACTTTGTTTGATTGGACCACATACATCTGTATGTATGAGTTCTAGTGGCTTTCTTGCTCTTGTCTCTGATTCCTTTGGAAAATTCATCTTGAATTGCTTTCCAAGTAAACACCTTTCACACACTTGATTTGGATGGTTGATGCAAGGTATTCCTTTCACCATCTCTTTCTTGGAAAGTAGCTCTAGGCCTCCAAAGTTGAGATGCCCAAATCGAAGATGCCAAAGCCATGATTCTTCCTTGTAGCACATCTTGAGACATCGCGCAATGTCATTTTGAATGTTTAGGACAAAAATTCTATTGCTTGACATTGGCACCTTTGTGATGAGCTTGTTTGATTTATCTATTAAAGAAAGGCTATTGTCTTTTAGTCGAATGTCATAACCTTTCTCCAAGAGTTGTCCAAGGCTCAAGATGTTGGTCTTCATGCTTGGAATGTAGTAAACATTGGAAATGAATTGATGATCTCCATTCTTCAAGCAGATGAGAATATTTCATTTACCTTTGACCTCCATCTTCGATTCATCTCCCAAAGCCACATTTGTTTTCACCGATTCATCAAGCTCCACAAACATACTTCTCTTCCCACACATGTGATTGCTTGCACCACTATCAAGGTACCACTTGTGCACTTCATTTGGTTCATCCTTCTTGTAAGCCATCAATAGCATATCTTCTTCTCTACTCCTTTCTTCAACATAATTTGATTTTTCTTCAACTCTATTATTGTTTGGAGCTTTGCATTCAGAGGCATAATGTCCAAACTTTCCACAACTATAGCATTTGATGCTGGATTTATCATACCTTGATTTTGCATTTCCTCTTCCACGACCTCGTGATGAGCTCTCTCCTCTTTGGTTAGAGTTGTCTTCATATGGTCTCCAACCTCGACCATTTACACCATGACCTCGTCCTCGGAAATGACCGCCACCACGTCTTGGATTGCTCCGGCCACTTTCTTCCTT